GAAAACATTGAATTTGTCTTCCTATATCTAGCTTGTTTTACTTAGCATGATGAAATCTGCTTCCTTTTCTTTCATTGCAAATGTCAGGATTTCATTCTTTTTTATGGCTATGTAATATTCCATTTTGTCTTTCCAGATTTTCTTTAGCCAGTCATCAATTGTTGGACATCAGGTTGAGTCTGTATCTTTGCTATTGTGAATTGGGCTGCAGTAAATGTGGGAATGCAACTAACTATTTCAGTTGCTGACTTCATTTCCTTTTGATATATTCCCAGAAATGAGATAGTTGAATCACATGATAGATCCACTTTCAGTTTTTTAGAAATGCCCCTACTGTTTTCCAGAATGGTTTACGTATTTGTGTTCCTGCCAGTGGTATATTAGGGTTCCCTTTTTCCCATCTCGTTACCATACTTGTTACTCTTTGACTTTCAGATAACAACCATTCTAACTAGGATGAGATGAGACTTCACTGTGGTTTTTATTTGCATTTACTTGTTGGCTAGCAGTACTGAGCATTCTTTCATGTGTTTGTTGGTACTTCAACAATATGATTTCTTTCCCTTTTTTAAAATATTTATTTCTTTGTTTGGAAGTCAGAGTTCCAAAGAAAGAGAGAGGAAGAGACAGAGGTCTTGCATCTCCTGGTTTGCTCCTCAGATGACCTCAGTGGCGGAGCTGGGCCAGGCTGAAGGTCTGCCACATTGGTGGTAGGGGCCCAAGTACTTGGCCCATCTTCTCTTGCTTTTCCCAGGCCACTATTAGGGAGATAGATCAGAAGTAGAGCAGCCAGGACACAAACCAGAGCCCATACAGGATGCTGTATGGGAGCTGCCGGCAGTGACTTTACCTGGTATGCCACAACACCAGCTCTGTGATACTGTTTCTTGAATCATGTTCAGTAACCAGATAACATGCAAAGATGAAGTGATTCACGGGTGACTGGTAAAGAAGTTACAACTTGAAGAAATCATACCTAGTAGGCACAAGATTTTGGCAGTTAGTAGCCTTTTTTCTTTCTTTGTGATTCCTGGAGGCAGTATGTAGAACATGTGTAATTATGTAATTCTATTGGAAAATGTGTGTTTTTAAAATTTTCCTTTCTTGTTTGAAGCCTCTTGCCTTGCCTTTCCCTGGAAAACTATTATCTCCCTTTGCTGCTTCCAAAATCTTCACATTGAGGTGTTTTCTGGGATGACATGGTGAGGGTCCATTGATAACATTTTTTTATTTTTATTTTTATATTTTTTTTGGACAGGCAGAGTGGACAGTGAGAGAGACAGAGAGAAAGGTCCTCCCTCCAATGGCCGCCACGGCCGGTGTGCTGCGGCCGGTGCACCACGCTGATCTGAAGGCAGGAGCCAGGTACTTCTCCTGGTCTCCCATGGGGTGCAGGGCCCAAGCACCTGGGCCATCCTCCACTGCCTTCCCGGGCCACAGCAGAGAGCTGGCCTGGAAGAGGGGCAACCGGGAAAGAATCCGGCGCCCCGACCGGGACTAGAACCCGGTGTGCTAGTGCCGCTAGGTGGAGGATTAGCCTATTGAGCCGCGGCGCCAGCCCCATTGATAACATTTTTAATTTTAGCACATGACTCTATAAAGTTAATGGGATTCTTGCCCATAATCATTAAGGCTCATTAAAATTATAGCTTTACAATGTCACTTGGTTTTTCAGAATCAAAAGGGAAACTTTTAAGTTGCTTAAACACAATCCACAGAATTAAAATTATGAAACTGCCCTTCACAATTGAGATAAAATTGTCAGATAAAGGATTAACAGTGTAATACTTACAACTACTTTAAAAGTTATTTTCTAAGAGAACTGGGAGAAAAAATGCTACCAAAAACTGAATTCTTGAATTGCCTGGTTTCTTGTGAACAATTGATTTTTTTTTCTTAAAGATTTATATATGTATTTTGAAAGAGTTACAGAGAGGGAGAAACAAAGAGGTCTTCCATCCTCTGGTTTGCTCCCCAGATGACCACAACGGCCAGTGATGGTTTAGGTCAAAGTAAGGAGCTTCATCCACATCTCCCACATAGGTGGCAGAGGTCCAAACACTTGGGCTATCTTTTGATTTTTCCAGGGCATTAGCTAGCAGGGTGCTGGATCAGAAGTGGAGCTGCTGGGACATGAACCAGTGCCCATTTGGGATACTGGCATTGGAGGAAGCAGTACCTGCCATGCTACAGTGTTGACCCCAAACAGTTGATTTTAAGAGCCAGCTATGGATAGAGAATCTGGAGAGCTTCAAATAAATACTGCACCCTGGACCCTACATCTGAAATGATTAGTCTGGGATGGGGCTGGGTGAGGATGTTTGAAAGCTTCCCCTGGGGCTGGTGTTGTAGCTCAGTGGGTAAAGCCACTGCCTGTGAGACCAGCATCCCATATGCGTACCAGTTCCTATCCCAGCTGCTCCACTCCCTGCTAGTGTGCCTGGGAAAGCAGCAGAAGATGGCCCAAGTGCTTGGGTCCCTGCACCCATGTGGGACCTTGATGAAGCTCCTGGTTTTGCCCTGGACCAGCCCTGGCATTGAGGCTATTTAGGGGAGTAAACCAGGGGATGAGAAATCTCTGTCTCTGTGTGTGTGTGTGTCTCTCACTGTCTCTCTGTAACTGCCTTTCAAATAAATATGTAAATCTTGGAAAAAAAAAAGATTCCCAGATGATTCTAATATGCAGCTAAGGTTGAGAAACACTGTATTCTGGCAACAGTGCACAGCTGAATACACTTTAGAATCACTTGTGGGAATTTTTTAGAATTTATTTGAAAGGCAGAGACAGAGATCTTAAATCTGCTAGTTTGCTTCCCAAATGCCCACAACATCTGGGACTGGGCTGGTTGAGTCTGAAGCCAGGAACTGGAAATTCAGTCTGGTCTCCCTCATGAGTGGCAGGGCCTGAATCTTGAACTGTGCTACCTCCCAAGATGCACTTCAGCAGGAAATGAATCTGAAGTGGAGCTGGGACTTGAAGCAGGCATTTAATTAAAGGATGTGAACATCTCAAGCTGCATCTTAACCACTGCACCAACCACCCACCACACCTGGGAAGATTTTAAAAGACTGATGCTCTATTGCTGAAAATGGTGATTTACCTATTTTAGATGAGAATCAGACCTTTTATCCTAAGCTCTCAAGTGATTGAGTTGTGTAGCCAGGATTGAGAAATAACTGTAGAAAGAGTAGATTGTTTTTAGAAAACACTATCATTTGATTATTTAATGAAGATTCTTAACATGTAATTTCATATTTCAACTTATTTTATGACCTGAAAGTTTTTTTTTTAATGTATTGTGTATGTTTGGAAATTTCTGCGATGTTTGGCCAGATCATTAATGTTACTGTTAGGAATGATACATAACCAGATGTCTGGAGATGAAGAACCACTAAGTCTTTAGCAACCACATACCTGTTTGTGTTTTTATATGGAAGTGAAATTTTTAAGAATTTTTGGAATAAATTAGATCTTGTTGAGGTAAACTATCTGTAATAGGTTAGTTTTTAGTGTTTACTGTTGATGGATTGCTCTTCAAGTTTCTAAATTATTTGCATGTATTTTAATTCTTTATTCACAGAGAGAGGGAAACTTTGGTTGTGTGTAACTCCTTTCTTACTATTTTGCTTTTTCTGAAGTGGTGATTTTGCATTTATTTGAGGATGTTGCATCTTCTTAAATATGTATTAGTGTAATGTATATTGATTTTGATGAGAATGAACTGAAACCTTAAAACTTTAAAAATTAGTAACTCGGCCGGCGCCGCGGCTCACTAGGCTAATCCTCCACCTTGCGGCGCCGGCACACCGGGTTCTAGTCCTGGTCGGGGTGCCGGATTCTGTCCCAGTTGCCCCTCTTCCAGGCCAGCTCTCTGCTGTGGCCAAGGAGTGCAGTGGAGGATGGCCCAAGTGCTTGTGCCCTGCACCCCATGGGAGACCAGGATAAGTACCTGGCTCCTGCCATCAGATCAGCGTCGTGCGCTGGCCACGGCCGCCATTGAAGGGTGAACCAACGGCAAAGGAAGACCCTTCTCTCTGTCTCTCTCTCTCACTGTCCAATCTGCCTGTCAAAAAAAAAAAAAAAAAGTAACTCCATGCTTATTAGCATCTACTTTTGTCTTATCAAATAATTATAGAAATGGGGGCCGGCACTGTGGCATAGTTGGCTAAGCTTACTAAAAATGAATTATTTGTGATACTATTCTATTCAAGGCTGTGTAATCTTGTCCAAATTAATGATTTAATATCTTACTGCTATAGATGAGGTATTTTTGGTTTTATAATTTCTAATATATTTTCAGATGTCACCAGAAATAGCCAGTATTTTTTCCTAGGGAAATTGTGTAGATTGTTTTGGGAAAGAAATATGGATCATTCTTGTTTCTAGCTTCCAAAATATTGAGAACCATTGGAATTAAGAAAAGGCAATAAGATTTTTTTTTTTACATACTCAGAAAACATTTTGTCAGGGAAGAAATATGGAACTAACTAGGAAATAAGTCCTGAATGTTCACGTACAGGTGTGTTGTGTGTGTTAGTGTATGTGTGTTGTGTATGGAATCAGTGGATATTGTTGGAAATTGTGAATTGCCTAACATGCAAAAACTGCACTTTTGGCATACTTGAAGACACTGTATGTATTGTGTCTGAAGATTTCTTTATGTTTGATTGAGAGGGATGGGCATTTGACTTACCAGTTAAATATACCATTGAGATGCCCATATCCTATATTAGAGTATTTATATGTAAGTCCTGACTCTGTCCCCGATTCTAGCTTACTGTTAATGTACACTCTGGGAGAGAGATCCTAGTACTTGGATCCCTGCCACCCATATGGAAGTCATGGATTAAATTTATGGCTCCTAGCTTCAGTCTGTCTCATTTCCAGCTATTGCAGACATTTGGGTAGTGAACTGGCAGATTGGGTCTCTATCTCTCTCTAAAAATACTAAAATATTTATGATCAATCATTGATAATTGATTGTATTTTTTCCTTATAGAATTTGCCATCTGCTGTAGTAACTCATGTGCTAAATCCTCAACCTGGAGAGAAAATTCTAGACTTGTGTGCAGCACCTGGAGGCAAAACAACACACATTGCAGCACTTATGCATGATCAGGTGAGACTGCCTTCACAACAAAAGTGCTCTCAACACAAAACCTTGGCAGCATACAACTAACATTTTTTTCTTCAATTTTTTAAAGTTGTGGTAAATAATATGTAACAAGTTACTCTCGTAACTATTTCAAGTGTATAGTTGAGTGATACTAAGTATATGCATACTGTTTTGAACCACTATCACCATCCATCTCCAAATGGTTTGTATCTCCCAAAGTGGAATCTCTGTATCTGTTAAATAACAACTTCCATCTTCCAGCCCCTGACAACCACCATTCTGTTTTCTCTCTTGTTTTTTGTTTGGGGTTGTTTTGTTTTTAAAACATTTTCTTATTTTTATTGAGTCATAAAAATTTTACGTATTTATCTAGTACCATCTGATACTGTAGTACTCTTTTTTTTTTTTAAAGTTTTATTTATTTTCCTTGAAAGTCAGAGTTACACAGAGAGAGAAGGAGAGGCAGAGAGAGAGAGAGAGAGAGAGAGAGAGAGGTCTTCCATCCGATGGTTCACTCCCCAGATGGCTGCAATGGCCGGAGCTGAGCCGATCCAAAGCCAGGAGCCAGGAGCTTCTTCTGGGTCTCCCAAGTGGGTGCAGGGGCCCAAGGACTTGGGCCATCTTCTACTGCTATCCCAGGCCAAAGCAGAGAGCTGGATCAGAAGAAGAGCAACCAGGACTCGAACCGGTGCCCATATGGGATGCCGGCGCTTCAGGCCAGGGCATTAACCCACTGTGCCACAGCGTCGGCCCCCTGTAGTACTCTTAATAATTTCTACTTTCATCAGTCTTTGGTAACCACTGTTCTACTCTCAACTTCTGCAAGATCAACTTTTTTGATTCCGCATGAACAGTCTTCACAGTCTTAATCTACCTGACTTCATTTAACATAATATCTTCTAGGTGTATACATGTTGCAAATGCTGGATTTCATCCTGTTTCATCACAATTTTAATCTAATCACCAGTTGACAGATTTTATTTCCTGGCTGTTGTGAATAGTGGTGAGGTAAAAGTGGGTGTGCAGATGTCTCCTCAACATCCTGATGTCCCATGGATATACCCAATAGTGGGATCATATGGTAGTTCTAGTTTCAGTTTTTTGAGGAGACTCCGTACTAGTTTCCAGAATGGTTATGCTGAATTACATTACCACCATCAGTTGTGTAAGATTGCTTTTTGTCTACATCCTCCCCAGAACTTATTATCTCTGTCTTTTTAGTAACAGCCTTTGTTGCTGGAGGAAGATAATGTCTCACTGTGGTTTTGATTTGCATTTTCCTGGTAATTAGTAAGGTTGAGGTTTTTTGTTTTTTGTTTTTTGTATACCTATTAATCATTTACAGTTAGCATTTATTCAGCTCAGGAATTCATGGCGTTCAGGTGATCCTTGCTGGGCTTGGTCAGGTATAGTCAGATGCAGGTTAGGCAGGTGGTTATGGGGTTCTTAGGTGGGCTCACTCATTTTGGTTTGTGTGGTTTTGGCTTATGTAGAGTGGCCTCACCTGAGACCACTAGGATGCCTTGGGTCTGTGTGTCTCTTCCTGCAAGGCCCAGCAGGCTAGCCTGGCCAGTGAAATTTCTTCACTGTAATACATTTGAACCTTATTCTGGCTAGTTTTACTACTTTTCCTGTTCAGCACACTTTTAAGTAATTTTCCTACTTGTAAAGGTATTAGTGGAAACAATGTTTATCATTAAACCTGGTCGCTTTTAGGAGCATTATCAACAAATTTTCTGTGTCGTGGTCTCTGTATAGTTCATGCAATGTCATACAAGGGCAGGGTATATAAAAGGAATGAAAACAAGAAAATGTATAGAAGAGGCCGGCGCCGCGGCTCACTAGGCTAATCCTCCACCTAGCGGCGCCGGCACACTGGGTTCTAGTCCCGGTTGGGGCGCCGGATTCTGTCCCGGTTGCCCCTCTTCCATGCCAGCTCTCTGCTGTGGCCAGGGAGTGCAGTGGAGGATGGCCCAGGTGCTTGGGCCCTGCACCCCATGGGAGACCAGGAAAAGCACCTGGCTCCTGGCTCCTGCCATCGGATCAGCGCGGTGCGCCGGCTGCAGCGCGCCTTCCGCGGCGGCCATTGGAGGGTGAACCAACGGCATAGGAAGACCTTTCTCTCTGTCTCTCTCTCTCACTGTCCACTCTGCCTGTCAAAAAAAAAAAAAAAATTAAAAAAAAAGAAAATGTATAGAAGAGGCAGTTCTACCATCTCTGCAATATCATTTCATAGTATGTTTCAAAATGTCATATGGGGGGACCAGTGCTGTGGCATAGTGTGTAAGACCACCACCTGCAGTGCTGACATCCCATGTGGACACCAGTTTGAGTCCTGGCTACTCCACTTGCAATCCAACTCTCTGCTGTGGCCTGGAAAGATGGCCCAAGTCTTTGGGCCCCTGCACTCGCGTGGGAGACCTGGAGGAAGCTCCTGGCTCCTAGCTTTAGATTGGCACAGCTTTGGATGTTTTGGCCATCTGGGGAGTGAACCAGCGGATAGAAGACTTTCTCTCTCTCTCTCTCTCTCTCTCTGCCTTTCAAATAAATAAATGTTTAAAAAAATATAATATGGGTATCAAAATGCATTCTTAAAATGTGGCTTCTATGGTTATTGATTTTAGCTTAACCCAAATGTTACTGTATAAAGTTATTTTTGCACTATTTTTATACCAATCCAGAACATCTTACTATGACATAGACATTTTAGTTCATATTTTTCTGCCTTTAGTTGACAGAGTTCATTTTAATTCTATGTGTATAGCCCCAGAATATTATAAGGAGAATCAGTTTTACAAGTAACATTCACCTCAAAGACAGTTGTCTTATGGCATCAGTTCATGCTCTTCCAGATGTGAACAAGGCACATTGAATTAGTGATTGCATTTCCTGGAAGATTACAAATACTACTCTTGGTTTTGGGTTTTGTTGTTTAAAATAGTCATTAAAAGAAGATTAGTTTTCTGCCAGGAATGTTTTTCTTAAAAGGAAAGACTGAAGTATTTGATGTAAATTTGATATACATCTGGTTAATGAATTCAGCTTTAAAAGTAGGGGTTGGGGCAAAGTAAAGGCCATAATTTTTCATCAGTTTTTTTCACATTATTAATTTTTGTGACTATTTTGAATTTATGATGTCTCTCTCTACCCCTTCTTCTCTCCCTCCCTTTTTTAGGGAGAAGTAATAGCACTGGATAAAATATCCAATAAAGTAGAAAAAATAAAGCAGAATGCTTTATTGTTGGGACTGAATTCCATCAGGGCATTTTGCTTTGATGGAACAAAGGCACTTAAACTTGATATGAGCCAGGATACAGAAGGTGAGTTAACATTTGTTTGAACTGATAAATCATCATTATATTGATCTGATACAGTGTAATGTTTGACATGTGTATGCAATGTGGAATATCAAACTAATCAATATATCAATTTATTTTTTGTAGTAAAACATTTGAAATTGACATTATTCACTATTTTGAAATATAAAATACATTATTATTTACTGTACAATGGATTAAAAAACTTAAACTCCTAGCTCAAGCTTTGTACCCTTTGAATGTATCTCCTCATTATCTTCCCCATCTGCAACTTCTGGTAACCACTATTGTACTCTGTTTTTATGAGTACAGCTTTTTAAGATTCCACATTTGACTAAGATCACACGGTATTTGTCTTTTGGTGTATGACTTGTTTCAGTTTGTTGCAAAGACAGAACTTCCTTCTTTTAATATTGAATAGTATTCCATTCTGTAAATATTTTCTTGTTCATCCATTGGTAGATGAGTTGATTGCTTATATTGGGTACTGTGAATAACATTTTAATGAACATGAGAATGTAGATATATCTTTAACAAATTGGCTTCAATTCCTTTGCAACATTCCCAGTAGTGGGATTGCTAGAATAAATGATTATTCTGTTGTTAGTGTTTTAAGAAGCCTCCTTACCTTTTTTCCATGACTGTAGTATACAAGGAATCTCTTCTCTCCTTGTCCTCACCAACATTTATCTTTTACTTTGTTAATAGCCACTCTGATAGGTGTGAGGTGATATTTCATTATAGTTTTTAATTTCATTTCTCTGATAATTGTAATATTGAGCATTTTTTTTCATGTACCTGTTGGCCCTGTTTTCTCTTGAGAAATGTCTATTGAAGTCCTAACCGATTTTTAAATTTGGATTGTTTTCTTGCTGTTAAGTTCTTTTTTTTTTTTTTTTAAGAGTTTGTGCATGTAGTTTTTTTTTTTTTTTTAACTTTTATTTAATGAATATAAATTTCCAAAGTACAGCTTATGGGTTACAATGGCTTCCCCCCCATAACGTCCCTCCCACCTGCAACCCTCCCCTTTCCTACTCCCTCTCCCCTTCCATTCATATCAAGATTCATTTTCAATTCTCTTTATATACAGAAGATCAGTTTAGCATACATTAAGTAAAGATTTCAACAGTTTGCTGCCACACAGAAACATAAAGTGAAAAATACTGTTTGAGTACTAGTTATAGCATTAGATCTCAATGTACAGTACACTAAGGACAAAGATCCTACATGAGGAGTAAGTGCACAGTGACTCCTGTTGTTGACTTAACAAATTGACACTCTTGTTTATGGCCTCAGTAATCACCCTAGGCTCTTGTCATGAGCTGCCAAGGCTATGGAAGCCCCCTGAGTTCACCGACTCTGATCATATTTAGACAAGGCCATGGTCAAAGTGGAAGTTCTCTCCTCCCTTCAGAGAAAGGTACCTCCTTCTTTGATGACCCGTTCTTTCCACTGGGATCTCACTCGCAGAGATCTTTCATTTAGGTTTTTTTTTTTTTTTTTTCCCCCAGAGTGTCTTGGCTTTCCATGCCTGAAATAGTCTCATGGGCATTTCAGCCGGATCCGCATGCCTTAAGGGCTGATTCTGAGGCCAGAGTGCTGTTTAGGACATCTGCCATTCTATGGGTCGGCTGTGTATCTCACTTCCCATGTTGGATCGTTCTCTCCCTTTTTTATTCTCTCAGCTAGTATTTGCAGACACTATTCTTGTTTATGTGATCCCTTTGGCTCTTAGTCCTATCATTATGATCAATTGTGAACAGAAATTGATCACTGGGACTACTAGTGAGATGGCATTGGTACATGCCACCTTGATGGGATTGAATTGGAATCCCCTGGTATGTTTCTAACTCTACTGTTTGAGGTAAGTCAGCTTGAGCATGTCCCAAATTGCACATCTCTTCCCTCTCTATTCCCACTCTTACATTTAACAGTGATCACTTTTCAGTTAAGTTTCAGCACTTAAGAAGCATTGTGTATTGATTACAGTATTCAACCAAAAGTATTAAGTAGAACAAACAAAAAAAATACTAAGAGGGATAACATATTAAGTTGCTCATCAACAGTCAGGGTGAGGGCTGATCAAATCACCATTTCTCCTAGTGTTCATTTCACTTTAACAGGTTTCCTTTTTGGTGCTCAGTTAATTGTCACCTATCAGGGAGAACAAGTGGTATTTGTCCCTTTGGGATTGGCTTATTTCACTCAGCGTAATGTTTTCCAAATTCCTAACAGGGGTCACTTTTCAGTTAAAATTTACACACCTAAGAATAATTGTGTGTTAATTACCGAGTTCAACCAATAGAACTAGAACAAAAAAAATACTACAATGGATAAAGTATTACATCGTATATCAACCATCAGGACAAGAGCTGATCAAGTCACTATTTCTCATAGTGTCCATTTCACTTCAACAAGTTTCCCCTTTGGTGCTCAGTTAGTTGTCGCCGATCAGGGAGAACATGATATTTGTCCCTTTGGGACTGGCTTAATTCACTCTTGCTGTTAAGTTCTTTTAGTTCCTTAGGTATTTTGAGTATTACCACCTTACCAGATGTATAGTTTGCATATGTCTTCTACCATTCTATAGGTTCTTAAAGCTTAGTTTGATGCAGTCAAGTTTGTGTTTTTTTTTTTTTTTTTTTTTTTTTTTTTTGACAGGCAGAGTGGACAGTGAGAGAGAGAGACAGAGACAAAGGTCTTCCTTTGCCGTTGGTTCACACTCCAATGGCCGCCATGGCTGGCGCGCTGCAGCCAGCGCACCTCACTGATCCAAAAGCAGGAGCCAGGTGCTTCTCCTGGTCTCCCATGGGGTGCAGGGCCCAAGCACTTGAGCCATCCTACACTGCACTCCCTGGCCACAGCAGAGAGCTGGCATGAAAGAGGGGCAACCGGGACAGAATCTGGCGCCCCGACCGGGACTAGAACCCGGTGTGCCGGCGCTGCAAGGCGGAGGTTTAGCCTAGTGAGCCGCGGTGCCGGCCTAGTTTGTGTGTTTGTACTTTTGCTGACTGTGCTTTTGGGATCATACCTCAACAATAATTGCCCAGAAGAATGTCGTGGAGCTTCTCCTCCATGTTTTTTTCTAGCAAGTTTTATATTTTCTGATCTTTAATTTAACTCTTCATTCCATTTTGAGTTTATTTTTCTATGGAGGCACTTCAAAAAGTTCATGAAAATGCATGTTATGAAAAAACTATGCATGAATTCCTAATTCCATTTTGTGAACTTCCTTGTGAATGATGTGAGACAAGGATCCAGTTTCATTTTCTGTAGGTGGTTATACAGTGTGCCCCACACTATTTATTTAAAATAATGTCCTTTCTCTTTTTTTTTTTTTAAGATTTTATTTATTTGAAAGTCAGAGTTACAGACAGTGAGAGGTCTTTCTTCCGTTGGTTCACTCCCCAAATGGCCGCAACAGCTGGAGCTGTGCCGATCCAAAGCCAGGAGCCAAGTGTTTCTTCCTGGTCTCCCATGCGGGTGTAGGGGCCCAAGCACTTGGGCCATCTTCTGCTGCTTTCCCAGGCCACAGCAGAGAGCTGGATGGGAAGAGGAGCAGCTGGGACTAGGACTGGTGCCCATATAGGATACTGGTACCACAGGTGGAGGATTAACCTACTGCGCCACGACACTGGCCCCATGTCCTTTCTCTATTATATGTTGTTGGTACTTTAATTGACAACCAGTTGTCCATAAATGAATGTACTTATATTCAGACTCACTATCCTGTTCCATTGGTTGATGTATGTTTTTATGCTGGTGCCATGATGTTTTGATTATATTAGCTTTATAGTTTATTTTGAAGTCAGGTAGTGACATCAGCTGGTGATACCTCCAGCTTTGTTCTTTTTGCTCAAGATTGTGTTGGCTGTTCATATTGTTTTGTAGTCCATGCCAATTGTGGGATTGTTTTTTCTTATTTTTGTGAAAAATGACATTGGAATTTGATAAGTACTGCATTTAATCTGTAGATTGCTTTGAGTGATATGGACATTTTGACAATATTAATTCTTCCAACCTGTGACTATGGATGTCTTACCATTTGTGTTTTCTTTCTTTTATCAGTGTTTTCTAGTTTTTAGTTTACAGATATTTCATCTTCTTGGTTAAATTTACCCAGGTTTTTATTTTTGCTCTTGTAAGTTGGAATTCTTTCTTGAATTTCTTTTTTTTTTTTAAGATTTTATTTATTTATTTGAAAGGTAGTTAACAGACAGTAAGAGGGAGAGATAGAAAGAGAGGGCTTCCATCCGCTGGTTCACTCCCCAAATGACTGCAATGGCTGGAGCTGAGCCGATCCGAAGCTAGGAGCCTCCTCCAGGCTTCCCACACAGTTGCAGGGGCCTGAACACTTGGGCCATCTTCCACTGCTGTCCCTGGCTATTAGCAGAGAGATGGATCAGAAGAGGAGCAGCTGGGACTTGAACCTTTAGTTAGGGTTTTCTCTATATAAGATTGTGTTATTAACAAATGGATAATTTTACTTTATTTCCTAATATGGTACCTTTATTTCCTTCTGTTGCCTAATTACTCTGGCTAGGACTTCCAGTACTGTGTTGACAAGAATTGGTTGAGAATGAACATGCTTGTCTTATCCTTGATCTCAGAGGGAAATCTTGAAGCTTTTTTTTTTAACCATTGATTATGCTGGCTGTAAATTTGTCATAAATGGTTTTCATTGTGTTGCGGTACATTCCTTTGTACCTAGTTTGTTGAGAGTTTTTATCGTGAAAGGAGATTAAAGTTTGTCCAAATGTTTTTTTCTGGATCTACTCAGATACTGATATGGTTTTTGTCCTTTATTATGTTAAGGTGATGTATCACATTGATTTATGTGTACGAATCCTCCTTTATCCCTGGAGTATATTTCACTTGATCATAGTAAATGATTATTTTAATGTGTTATTAGGTTTAGACTGCTGGTATTTTGTTGAGGTTTTTTGATCTGTATTCATCAGGGATATTGACCTGTAATATTTTTCTTGTGATGACCTTGTCTG